TTCCAATTTCTGCTTTTTTCCTCTTCACTTTTCTTATTCAGCTTTGTTTGAGTTAAGATCATCACTGCCCTGAATTTCTAAGCACTTGTCTGTTTTTAACTTATTTATTAAACAAGGCTCCTAAATACTTCTATTATTTCATTGTTTTAGATACCGTGAATTTACAGTATAACAACCAACATCTTGAACAATGCTAGTTCAAATTTCTGTATTTGAATCTGAGGAGACAGAGTCTTGGTGGAAAGCACACAATTTCATTCATTTCTAATCAGTAGCCTCAATGGTAAATAGGCCATCTGGCAAGCCCACTGTTTATTTGGTCAGCTTGATGGCCCATTCTTTGTAACAAGTTTTGCAAATGTCCTTTTTCTCACATTTTTTCATTCTCAGATGACTCTGTAAACTTCATAAAAATCTGAAGGTATCAGGTATCTCCAAGCCTAACACACCATAAAGGTCAGCACCAACTTTCTCCTTACTCTGAATAAACTGTTGGGTTAGAAGCATTCCTTCTCTAAAAGCCAGTGTTTATTCCTTTAAAGTTGACCTTCCTCACTTTCAGAGGAAGCTTAGATCCATATTTTCTGTTTTATAGAGTTGTCCTGTCTCGATTCCATATTCTCAATCATTCCTTTTCATCAGTGTCTCTCTTCTTAGAATATAATACCCAGTTACCCAAACATTAACCAGTAGGTTAATGTTTCTAAACTATCAGAGATAGATTGAGATGAAAAACATTTTGTAAATTGAGAAGAACTATTTAATGAGTGCTGGTGCTGTTAGTTTGCCCCAAAGCCAAAGGAATTAACTGCCTTAATAAGATTCTGTTCCTGTCAGATGTGGCAGTACAACTCAATTTTCTAGTTATTAGCTACTTATACTAATTTATTATTAGCTATTTAACAGTAGTATACAGTTTCAATAATACTAACTTGAAAGCACAGAAAAAATTTATTTAAAAATCCATTTTATTTCTACTTAGACAGATACAGTAACCTAGTATCTCAGCTAAATGATGAATCTTTATTTTCTTTTTCTTTTCTTTTCTTTCTTGTTTTGTTTATCGACACAGGGTTTCTCTGTGTAACAGCCCTGGCTGTACTAGAACTAGCTCTTGTTGACCAGGCTGACCTCAAACTCACAGACACTCTCCCGAGTGCTAGGATTAAAGGCATGAGCTACCATCGTCCTCGGCTAACTGATATTCTATATTCTAATCATAGGATTAGGCATCTGGTATACCTACAACCAGAATGGATTTGACTAAAATAGAATCTGAGACCTGATTGAACTACTTTCATCCTGACCAGTAAATTCCTTTCCCAATTCCATAAACAAAACGCCTTAACAAAGTGAACAAGTTAGATGAGGGTTCATTTCTAAAATGTCATGTTTAATTAAGAATTTTTAAGCAGGGCTCTTTGGGGATCACCATTTCAGAAGTTCCATAGCACAATAGAAAAATCTAGCTTCACCGGATGATGCTAAGTATGTAAATCATTTAAAAACATTGTACAAAGATAAAAACCAGGAACATTCTAGTTCTGATCATTAAGACAAAACGACTAGTTACCTGTCTTAGAGTTTTTATTGCTGTGATAAAACACCATGACCAAAAGCAACTTGGGGGAGAAAAGAGTTTATTTCATCTTACAGCTTGTAGTCCATAACCAAGAAGTGGGGGCAGAAACTTAAGGCAGGAACCTGCAGGTCGAAACTGATGCTGAGGCCATGGAGGACTGCTGCTTACCTTCTTGCTCAGTATGCTTCCTTATACACTCCCAGGACCATGTGCCCGATGATAGCACCACACACAGTTGTGAAGCAAATGGTCTGTAGGCGTGCCTACAGGTCAATCATATGGAGGCATTTTTTCCAACTAAGGTTGATGGTCAACTTCTCAGATGACCCTAACATGTGTCAAGTTGACACAGAAACTATCTAGCACATTACTCAAATGTTTCCTCTTCCTAAATATGAGCAATGCTTCAATTACACTCATCAGGTTAGGGTCCTATCAGTAAGCCTTTCCCCCACTTATTAGTATTATTTAAAAATCATTGAGACAATGAATGCAAAAGTGCTTTCAAAATGGTGAAAGCAAAGACAAACCAGTCACTTCTCTTTTATTGCTTATCCTTAACAACACATAAATCATAACCTATTAACATTAATATACCTTTAATAGCTTATCGATTTTTCCCAATATATTTGCTCGTTGGACTAAAATCAGAGGTCAAGAACAATTTCCTGGGCATATGTTGTGCAGAAGCTAATCTATATTTAGACAAATCCCTAAACTAAGAATCGACCAAGCTTATGAGCTTGTCATAGAGCTTGAGTTAATCCCCACTGTGTTGGTCAGAATGTGATGAACTACTGATAGCTAGGGGACCTTAGGGCTTAGGTAAAGGGAAGAGGCATTTTATGGTCTACAGAAGGAGCACAGCAGAGGAAAGCAAACAAGAGGTTAAAAGGCAAACTGTGATAACTGTATACATCATATTCCCCTTCTGAATAGAGATTCTTTTTCTTCCCTTATCTTTTGATTTAGGCTTATCCTGAAAGTTAGGTTGACCAGCACATGTAGCAGAAATCATCTTTAGGAATTTCCAAGCCAGGGTTTGAGGACTCAGTCTCTATTTTTCTCTTGCTGAAATGTTCATGTTTGTATTACTTCTTTGATCCTAAGCCTCAATAAAGACCCTCAGCCATTATGATGGGAGAACTCGAAGTCACCCTAACCATCATTATATGAAGAAACTCAGTCCTTATGATGGGAGAACTCAAAGCCAGATGCAAACCACACACAGAACTGAGATGTGATTGCTGGATTTCCAGTTGAGAGCTACCATCAACTGTCAACCACATGCAAGAACTATCTTATATATGTTTCGAGCCCTGTCTAGCCTCTAGATAACGGAACTTATCACACCACCAGGTAGAGAACTCAAGTGACTTCTGTCCATTCAGAGAACTGTGAGAAAAACAGCTATGACGTAAGTGGAGACAGTCTGTTAGCAACAGAAAACAAAAAGTAATGTCTTGCAGGCCATAAAGTAAATAAAATGAGCATCTGGACACCTTACTTAGGAAGCAAACATGGCAATACTCTTTCCAATGTATTTGTTACACCTTGTTTTCCTGTTCTGCCATCACCCTCAACTTTTGTAGCTTGAAAAGAATTTCACCACAAATACACATAATACAGTTTAAATTTGCTTAACTTTACAAATAGTTTGACACTACAGGTAGACTTAGCATTTGCCTAATCATTTCTAGATAAAATTAATTTTATTTATTTGAGACAAAGTCTCACTCTACAGCCCAGACTGTCGTTGAACTCGAAATCTTCCTTCCTGACTCAATCTCCAGTGCTGAAATTACAGTATGAGCCATGAAGGCGGGCTTTTCAGTTCTACCTTTGTGTTTGCATGGAGGTCATTCTCCCTGCTAAATAAAATCACATCCTCTATAATTTACTCTTCATTAACATTTGGATCACGGTCATAAACATTGCACAGTTTCTTACAGATGTATCTATGCAAGAGTTTACCTAAGGAATGTATGTAGAGAATGCAATTACTTAACTCTACAAGGCCGAATGGCTTCCTGAACACCTATAGTGTGAAGTGTCTCTCATCACACCATTTTCATTAGACATGGAGATGTCTTAGTTTCACAACCTAGTGGACATAAAATGGTACTGGTTATGGCCTTAGTCTCTTAGGCAGATAAATCTTTTCATTTATCTAGCCAAATGTTCTTTAAATGCCTTGGGGTTTCTTTATGTCTTTATCTCACTTTTCTAAAGGATGACGAACAGAAAGTTAATAAGCATCTTCATGCTCTTGGTATTTAATGTATCTTCTTAACATAGTGCTGAGTTAACTCGAATGGTGCCTCTCACTTTCACGTGTTATTAGCCTGTGGTTTTCTTTTCTCTGGCTATCCTCGTTTAGTAAGCTATATGAGTCCCATACAATAAGCTAGGAAGTCTTCCCTCACCACATATGCTTTCAACGTGTGGTTAAGATTCTGAATAGTAGTACTGCCTTTAAAAGAGGGGTAAAAAACTGAGGCAGGTGTTGACAAGACATCATAATTTGTTTACTATTCACCACTACTGGACAGATTTATTTAGCATCTGCATTTAACGAATATAATTTTGTCTATTTGATCTAAATACTTTGTCCACTTAGTTTGTTTATTTTGAACCAGGGTCTCACTTGTCTTTGTTTTGTGATGGGAAACAGCCCAGGGCCTGGTGTGTGTGAAACATGCAGAGCTATTATTACTTACCATACTCATCGCCCTCTAATCTCTTCCTTTATTTGTACTGTGTTCCTCCTAATCTCCTTTTCATTGGGCTGTTTCACCGCCTGCCTCTTTTTTGAGAAGGTACCCTTGAGAGAAACACACAGTGAAATAATCTACCTTAACACTAACTTGGCACCAGGCACTCAGAACACTTTGCTTCTAACCACCCTCCTTTCTTCTGAACCATATTTCCCCAGTTATATCCTTATTTGAAAATTCCACAACAAGATTGCATAACAATATTTATTCAGTTTTACAAGTTTACAATGTCTATAAATACTTCATTATGATTGCTTTATATAAACAACACTTTAAATTTACAATATTGATCACTTTGTTAATCAACACTTCATTTCAGACCTTGCTTTTGGGGTAATTTTTCTCATTGAAGACCATCCCGTTTCAGTTTCTTTAATAAAGGTCTGTTGGTTCTGAGTTTTGCTTTGCACTGGTTTTTAGAGTTCCACTCAAGTCTGAAGGCATTTCCTGCTTTCTTTTTTTTTTTTTTTTTTTTTTTTTTTTTTTTTTTTGGTTTTTCGAGGCAGGGTTTCTCTGTGGTTTTGGAGCCTGTCCTGGAACTAGCTCTTGTAGACCAGGCTGGTCTCGAACTCACAGAGATCCGCCTGCCTCTGCCTCCCAAGTGCTGGGATTAAAGGCGTGCACCACCACCGCCCGGCTCCTGCTTTCTTATGTACACTGCTGCTACTGGGGGTCTACTCTGTATGAGACTGACTTGCCTCTGCTGAGGAGCTTTATGTCCCTTTGGTTTCTTAAAAACCTTGCTTTGTATCTTGTGGTTCACTACTTGGATCAAATCACGGATTTGATTTTTTTTTTAAATGTGTTTAAGCTATATTGTTTCTTGAATTTATAAGTGTTTTGCTAACACGTGTGGGGAACCCTGCCATCTCAAGTGCTCCTCTCTTTCATTCTCCCCACCTGGTTCTCCTAGACCATCACCCCTTCCTTCTCACCTCCCTCCTGCTGCTCTCCCTTCCACTCCACTGATCTCTTCCGCTGTGTCTGCTACTCCTGACCCGCCTGCAGTTTGTCCTCCTCCTTAAAAGAATGTGGTCCTCACTCTGAGGAGCACTGCCTGGCTCTCATCCTTTATTCTCTACAGCACTGTTGTGGACTTGGGAGAAACGACTTTAATGAGTGTGTGTGTTTTTTTTTTCCTTTAGTTTATCCGAAGGAGCACTACCGGGCTCTCATCCATATCTATGGCTCTATCCTTTATTCTCTGCATTGTTGTTGTGCACTTGGGAGAAATGACTTCAATGACTGTTTTTTCCTATAGTTAATTCTCATTCTGATTCAGTGTATCTTGTACCTCATGACTTACAATCATGAACTAATAAAATACTGCTTGATCATAATTTATGGGCGTCTCGGGTCTAAGTTAGGAGTGCTACTAGATTGTTTCTGCCAGGATCTGCACTGAACTGCAGGGTGAGAGCTACAGAACATTAACTGCCCTACCTAGGACAGCATCTCCGATTCACATTTCTCTATTTTTGGTGTGAGGCAAGCAGCATACTGCCATGCTGCTACTAGTGCCTGACATCCAGGAAACCACTGTCCATCTGTATGCTTAAAATAGTATTCATGGCCTCAAACTTAAACCATGTCCATAAGCTGTTGCACCTGAGTGCATGTTGGAAATGTCCTCTAGGATGAACTTAGAGACAATTCCTGATGATATATCAACTGCGGTCGATACTGACTGCTCATAGTTTACATATTTTGATCAATGTGTGATGTCCTTCAGTAGGACTAAATTCTAAAATAGCTCACATTTTGACTCTTCTGAAGATAAATAATAGTGATTTGTTACATGCAACTCCAATTAGATGCATAGTTTACTTTTGAAAACCTGGGCCTAATAATAAAAGCAGGGGAAACGAGGCAGCTGGTGATGTCATGTAAGTCAGAAACACATCTAATAGACATTCTCATAGCAGAGCTTAAATGCAGGTGGGGCATTTGCATCTTTAGTTTTCATAGCTGTTGATCAGTGTGTTCCGGGTGCCTCACCCTAATCACTGAAGTAATGGAAGGAGATGCCCGCAGCAAGGACTGCAACTGCAATTGCTGCAATCGCACCTAGAAGTGAAACAAACACAAAACAATTCAAGTGGAATGAGCGAAAGAACGGCTCAGCTGATCCTCAGGCTCTGCAATGCGGGTAACAGGTGGACCTACAGACACTTACACACAACAGACGTACACATATATGCACATACTGCAAACATGTACCAATATGTACATACGAAAATTTAGAGAATTCTTAGAGGAAAATATGGTAGTAAGCTGAAAAACTAGTTCATAAGGACTGGACAAAGTATCTCTGACACATGCACACTAAAAGAAAACAGAACACATACTTTAGAAAGCTTCTGTAAATCTGTGTGCGTATGTATGGACATACGCACACACATAAGTGCAGAGACATACACTTATACACACGTCCCAATTCGTCAGCTGTGTCACACTCAGGTTACACCGAAACACAGATCCGGTTGTCGTGCTTCTCCGTCATTATAATGCACATGTATGGTGTAGCTATGGTCACTTCCATCATACTAAATGAAATTAATTTTAGGATAAAAAGAAAACTCAAAATCAATTCATTTTTCAAAGTTATAAAAAAGCAAATACCTAGGCCGGGCGGTGGTGATGCACGCCTTTAATCCCAGCACTCGGGAGGCAGAGGCAGGCGGATCTCTGTGAGTTCGAGATCAGCCTGGTCTACAAGAGCTAGTTCTGGGACAGGCTCCAAAACCACAGAGAAACCCTGTCTCGAAAACCCACAAAAAAAAAAAAAAAAAAGCAAATACCTATGTTTTGCTGAATCTTCGATGCAATTGGAGTTTCATTTGGCTGCTGTGGCTGTTCCTCTTCTGTGTCAGGCAGTGACGCTTCGCTCCTCACAGATGAAGTCACACAAGCTGCAAGAAATCAGCATGAAGCCTACATGAATCCAGAACCGCTATTTTAAGTAATATAATAAAGAAAATACACAATCAACAGCATTTTCCTTCCACTCGCCTATTTTTTTAAAGATCTGGATTTTCACTGTAAAAACTGTTTCATTTTATTGTTATGTGCATTGGTGTTTGCCCACATGGAGGTCTGTGCTCTAGAACTGAATCGAGATCCTTCATAAGAGCAGCAAGTGCTCTTAACCAGCGTCATCTTTCCTGATCCCTGTTCATCTTTTACATAACATGAATCTGTTCTTTACTGAATGTAGGTGGGCTAAATTTCACGGGATAGAGATCACCAGAACACGTGACCTACACTGAAGTGAATGACTCCTGTATCTACTCAGTTCTCAAACTAAAATTGGATTACAGAAAGAAAGTAAGAACCTAGTTGGACTATATTATGTAAAAGGTTTGCTATTTGGCCTAATGCAGAAAGAGATTATTGACTTTTAATCTCTGAAATTTGACATACACCAGGCAAATATGACTAGAAATTCTACCTTACAAACCTCTGAAAGTTAAGGAAGGCAAGTACTGCATCACATTTTACAAACCCTAGTAGGGAAAGTGTGAAGCTGAGGATTCTAGGTAGTTGACCTAAGGTTTGTAAATTGTCTTTCATCTTGTTTTTTAAATGGCAGAAAATAATTTTTAAAAGTTGTATTCGTGTGTGTGTACGTGTGTGTGTGTGTGTACGTGTGTGTGTGTGTGTGTGTGTGTGTGAGAGAGAGAGAGAGAGAGAGAGAGAGAGAGAGAGAGAGAGAGAGAGATATGTTGTGGGCATGGGTGGAGGTGCACACGTGCCAAGGTAGACATGTGGGGTCTGAGGACAACTTTTAGAAGTTTGTCCTCCCTTAGCCTAGGGTTCCTGAATGGACCTCTGATAGTCAGACTTTTACTGAGCCATCTTCCCAGCCCAAATATAAGTTTTCCCTTCATTATGCTGGCAATTATTTATATACATTTGCCTATCTAAATTTACTTAACACCAACTGAAATTGTTTGACCTTGTAACATCTTTAGAGATCATACAGGCTAGTGGCTTTTGTTTCTCCTTCCAAGGTGCTAAAGAATACTATGAAAACAAAATCTGATAGTAAAATCACCATATATAAATCAAAAGAAAGCAGCATTGTGCAGGCTGTGGCAGGAACGGAGAGTCCTGAAGGAGCCTAGCCAGACTCACACCATCCCCCAGAAGTGGTGGTGCAGTACAGTGCTACAGAATTCTAGAACTATGCTCAAAAGAACTATCACAAGTCGATCCCTTCATTACCAACAACAGAGTACAGCAGTGTGTGTGTGTGTGTGTGTGTGTGTGTGTGTGTGTGTGAAAGAGAGAGAAGAAACATAAAATAGGACATATTGAAGTATCTGTTTATATTTTTTAAATACCCTGTGTCAATTAAAAAAGGTCTTTATGTATATATTCCATATACAAGCATAGACACATAAGGATGGCACATAAATGTATTTAATAGGGATCTGTGGTATCAAAATGGAAAGAAAAACTTGGGGGGGGGGGCTTTTATGTACTTCATTATTTTCCTATCAGAATCAACAGCAAGTGCCATTACCAGTTGATCCATCTTGCCAGCCACCCAGTAACGGAACTGTTTCAATAGATGAGCTCCCTACAGTCAACAATTTATCCATAAATACACACCATTAGTAGGGTGTGGTGCTGCCACACACCTGATATTTCAGTACTCAGGAGGCTGAGACAGAAAGATAGCAAATTTGAAGAAAACATCACGCTTTAAAAGGGAGGGCCAGGCATTTGAGATACAGCTAAACGGCAGTGTGACTTTCTGCCATGCAAAAGGCCCTGAATTTCATTATTAGCATCACAATAAGTAACCAGGATTATTTATTTTTCCTTTAAATTATTAATGCTTCTCAGGCATGTGAGTATGCATGGGAGTAAGAAGGATTTCAAGGCTTAAACCACATAACAAGTCATGTCTCCAAAGACCAAGTATGTAGTCGGAAACTTGCCTACCATGCACAAGGGCCTGGATTCAGCCATGGAAAATAATAAGTAATGGATATTTAGTAACAAAGAAAAACTGGCTCCAGTGCCAGGACAGAACTGACAAAGAAGAGTTTCAGCAAATTTTAAAGGTGTGTCTTCAACTTATTTTTATCTGATAATAGACAAAGTACATCTGAATTATTAAGTTAATGTCTATGATGTGACTAACACATCCAAGAAATTCTAAAACCATGGTTATCCTTCAACATTAGTGAGTCATTCTGACAAACAATTTGTCTTTTACCCCTTAGGTCATTTAAAAGTATGTTACCTGAAGACACTTACTTGGCAAAACATCTATTTTTAAACATAGCAACTACTTGACAACTACACTATAGACCATACAGTAACAGTCAAACATATAATTTCCAAAACTTAGAAATAACACCAGATATTTAGAAAGCTTAATATCCCTAAATACATAACTCAGTTCCACTTCTGAATGTGAACCTATTTTCTGGGGTTTATTGTTTATAGAAACCCTGATTTCAGGTACTTCTGGAAACCCAAGTATATTATAAAATATTATGTTCACAATTTAATATTCATGTTTTTATTAATATGCAGAGGAAATTATTTGATAAAGTATCCTACCACCCTCCATTTATATGTATTACTTTTTAGAAAATATTCCCAAAGGAATCTGGGTCTAGGAAGGCCTTAGACAGGTCTGTAAGTGGCAGGACTAGACTCAAGTCAAATCACACCATAGCTTGCATTATGCATCTAGAAGATAAGCTAAAACTACACACTCAATGTCTTCAGGTAAATAAAATAAAAGAATGAGAAATTGAATATAGCCCCAAACAAATAGGAAGGTTAGCTTAAAACCCTTAATATATGCATGAAACTTGTAGTTTTGTTACCCTATCCCCAAACAGTAAAGAACATATTTTCTATTAAAACTATACAGTTACTAAATTAGCCCTTCCAATTCAACAAATCTCAGTGAGGCAAAGCTGACGTAATTCTAGATAATAATTTTTATTCTTGGCTACCTCAGACCAGTGTTCAGCTCCTAAAACACCTGATCACTTCTATTTCACTCTTCATTCAATATCAGCTTAAAGTCAAGAAATGTCCCTGAGTCCCACACAGAGAGGGCGCATCTGCTGTGTACCCGCCAATCTGTCCACTTTTCTACTACAGACCTAATCATCTTCACCACAGTCTAGGTGTTTGTACATTCTGCTGTGCTGCAAGATTCTTGAGAAGTACTACTCTATTCTATCTTTAGAATCCTAATGTTCAATATACTATAGGCAATCAATGCATAATAATAAATTCTTAGCCTGATTATAATTTATGTCTCAAAGGGTTTTACATTGAATGGGAATACTGCCAGTGCATTACTTATTACTCATTACACAGAAAAATATGCATATCTAGAAAGTCATTGTTTCCTATCAGTGTAGTTTCTACAGTACATATTCTATATCTGAGTATCCACACCCAACTTTCAAACTCCTCTTGTGTTCCCTTTGTTATTGTAATAAATAACATTCAGGTAACCCATCTGGGATGGTAAGCATTGCTGGTCCACCTGACAGTATCTAAAACGCTAGGAGACAAGCCTCCAAGCACACATGAGGAATGACCTCAATTCGGTTACCTAGGATGGAAAGACCTACTATAAATGTGGGTGGCGCTATCCCCTGAGCTTGTATCCTGGACTGCAGGAGAAGTAGAGAGCTAGCAGAGCGTCAGAATTCATTGTTCTCTGCTTCCGGACTGCAGACACCATGTGACCAGCTCTCTCAAACTCCCACCACTGTGACTCCCTCCAGGACAGACTGCATTCCTGAACGGTGAGCACAGGAAGTCCTGGCTCCCTTTACTTGCTTGCCAGGCATTTTATCACAACCACAGAAAAGCAACCAAGACATCGTCTTCACCTTACACTGCCAGAGTAAGAAAAAGGAAACAGGAAGAAAATCAAAATGCAGTGAGGTATAAAACTACATTCCCAGATGGGACCGGTGGCTAACGCCTTTATCTCAGCACTCGGGAGGCAGAGGTGGGTGTGTCTCCAGCCTGGTCTACAAAGTGACTCCCAGGCCAGCCAGAGCTACACAGAGAAACCCTGTCTCGAAAAACCAAAAACAGAAAAGAAGCAAAAACAAAACCAAAAAAAAAAAAAAAAAACCTACAACAACAACAACAGCAACAAAAAAACAAACTCTAAATTCCCAAACTACACTTATAAAAGTTAAAGCCTACAAAAGGAGATATATGAATTACTATTTACATGCTACCTAGGACTACTCGATTTTTAAAGAGAGATTACGCACAATTTTATCATGAATATTTAAGATACTTTATATTCCTTGGATTATGATATTAATATTTAACATGATATAAGCAATGCTAAAACAAAAGATAAAATATGGCCCACGGGACAAGCACTTAATTCTGATGATAAAGTGTATTGTTTTGAAGTCTAAAAGTTATCTCATTTCTTTTTTTTTTCTTTTTTTTTTTCTCAAAACAGGGTTTCTCTGTGTAGTCACTGTGGCTGTCCTGCAACTAGCTCTGTAGACAAGGCTGGCCTTGAACTTATAGAGATCCACCTACCTGTACCTGCTGATTAAAAGCATGCGCCACCAATGCCAAGTCTAACAGTCATTTATTTGCAAAAATGAGATGTAGTCAAAATTATAGGGCTTTTAATAAAGTTGGTATTATCTACTGTATTACATGGCAATCTGTAAGACAGATGTGTACCTGAGAAGTGAAAACTAAAGGCAATAATGGGGGAGAATATGAGAACACTGAAACCGGATGTCTCTTCCCACCTTGAAGGAGTAGGAACTTAAACCAAGGTCTTATTTTTGTCATCTAGACTGGCAGGCTCAGGAGGAAGACAAGACTCAGTGGCCTTGGTGTTTGCACACCCTCACCCATGGAGGGCATGGTAAGGAGAAAAATACCAGCACCCTCGAGTCGAGACTGACCATCTGACAGGAAGGATAGATGACCACTGACTGTACTGACCCCTGTTATACAATACACTTGCTAAAGAGAAGAAGGAAGACAGAACTTTAGGAACCGAATTCACTGTCTACTCAGAGTACTGACTCTCAGGAAAGAAAATACAGTTTAAAGATAGAAAAAGAAAAGCCTTGTAGATCACGACCTACAATACGTATTGCCTATGTTTGCAATTGTTCTTACTGTTCTACCTGAGACGTCCAGGCTGGTCTGGAACTCTCTGCCTAGTTCAGGCTGGCAATTCCCTGCCTCAGCCTCCTGCGTGCTAGGACTTAGGGACTAGCACTTAAATCTTCCACCATGCCTGGGGAAAATTTTTTTTTTCTTATTGAATCACCAATCAAGTAACTGTAGACCCTAGCATTCTGATCATTATTCTTAAGTAGTCCCTAGGTACTCTGAGGATCTTACTATATTCTCTGACATCAGTCTATCTTTTAAATCAGAGTAGAGGATATTGTTTTGTTTGGTTTGGTTTGGACAACAGAAATCTTGTTTTCTCATCCTGGTGCTAGAAGCTGAATATCAGGGTATGAGTACTTTTGATTTCTTCTGAATACACCCTCCTCGGCTCGCAGAGAGCTGCTGTTTTCCTTTGTCCTCGCCGGCCCTTACTTGCTGTATACTCTTTTCTTGTACCCCTTTATATGTGTCAATGTCCTCTTGTCCTAAGGATGCTGGCACAATTTGATTAGGGCCTATGCTAATGATATCATTTAACAAAATCACCTTTTAAATATCCCCAAATACAGTCATAATCTAAAGAACTTGAAGTTAAAGCATTAATCAATATATTGGTGATGATGGGTATACAATTCTACTCATTCTGGTAATTAATTCTTACGATGATCTAGTAGATACTATTTGGTAATGGTAATAAACAAATGTAATTTGTATTATGATAAATAAAGAAATTTTATTTCTTTAAATCACTCACCTGTTGAAAGATACAAGATGTTTCCTAGCAAATACACAAATATTTTCAAGAGGTTTACAGGCCTTCTGAGTCAATTTAGACTTTAACAGTTTTAGTCATTACAGGTTAGAAATTCCTAATCTAGAAGAAGGAAAATAGGTAGAAAGGAAAACAAAACAAAACAAAAAAAATATTGTTCAGAAACTATACCAAAGAGAATAAAGCGTGTGGGACTATTTGGCTCTAAAATATTTAGAACATTAAATTTAGAAATTTGAAGCATGAATACAGCCAAGAAGCAATGTATGTGTTTTATGGATCCATATTTTTGAACAAAGTTTAGTTACAGGAAGACTGACTGCTACCAAAAATAAAGAAGAATAGAATCTGTGTACTCATCTTCTTGGGATATAGATCTATATATTAAAAGAAAAGAGATGAATTACAGAAACTCTATGGATACCCTAACATTTCCTAGATTCATTTAGGACCCAGCAATTCTCACCCTGTGGGTGCATATCAGACACCCTGCATATCAAATAGTTACAATTTATAACAGTAGCAAAACTATAGTTATGAAGTAGCAACAAAATAATGTTACGGTTGGGGTCACCACAACAAGAGGACTGTATTAAAGGTCACAGCACTAGAAAGGTTGGGGACCACTAATCTAGGTTACGGTTAACAGAATGGCTCAAGAAACATCATTAGGCACTAGAAACCAGGAAGTGAACACAACAAAATCTTCCTTCTCCCCATGAGAGTTCTGCTTTCAATGTGACACAATGTAGCCTCACAAGGGAAGAGAGTTACAGTAAGGGACTATTTGGATCAAGTGGGTCTGTAGGCATGTCTGTGACTGTCTAGACTGCCTGAGCTGATGTGGGAAGACCAGGCTGACGGTGCCCTCTCCTTGTATGGAGCCTTGAATGACAAAGTAGAGAAGGCTAGTTGACACTAAGCACACATGCAAACATTACTCTGCTCTTGCCTATGGAGGTGACAGGACCAACTCCTGTCATGATGACAAACTATAAACTATAAGCTAATATAAACTCCCCTTACTGCTAAGTTGTTTTTTGTCAGAGTATTTAATTGCAGCAACAGAGATGAAGTAAAACATCATCATTGGAAGTAAAGGGATTTTGATGAACACTAAACATTCGACATTCTCATTTTTACCAGATCATTTCTTGGGGGAAAAAAATGTCTCTCTCTCTCTGGAAAATTTACACAGACTAGGTAGCCCCAAATTCCTAGGCTCAAGAGAGCCTATCATTTCACATTTTAGCCTCTTGGGTAGCTGTAATAGCATGGAGTCCTCTGACTCCAATATACTTTCTGTTTTAAAAATTTTACTTTTTAAAAGACTTCTTTATTTTTTGCCTTCTTAAACGCCACATGGCTTTAACAAAATGAACTCTATACTCTCCCCTGATGGGGACTGGGAATTAATGAAACAGAACTGAATAAGAAGTTAGAAAAGGAATTTTTAAAATTATTATTCATATTTAATAAACATCCATATTCAAAAGCAACACAGACACTTTCTACCAAACCACAAACTTCTAAAATAAGCTGTTTTTAACTCAGTACCTACTGTTTACAAATAATTTTATTACATAATATTTAGAAACATCTATTTGGACATTTCTTTACATACACATTTTTATATCTTATACTTATTGAAAATAAAACTAAAAGGCAAATCAAATAAAACCTCCCAAAGGTCAGGTCAAATGAGCACAGGCTAGCGGAATCCCTGGGCTACACAATTGGAGAGTATCAAGTCTATGCTCTAGCCAAGCCATCTTTATATGATTTCTTCAGCTGCCCACCGTACTTTAGTGTCCCCCTTATACAACAAGGACATAAAAAAAAAATGACAAATTAAACAGGGAAAATTTTCTAAAACAGCTTAAAACAAACTTTTCTCATGTTGAAATTAATTCCTGAAAGCTACATATTTCCACACATTTAAAGCTGAGTTTGTCTCATGAAGATTCACTTGCTAGACTCAAATAACACCTGATGTGTTTGGGTAGTTTCCAAAGAAAATACTCATTGTATGTTTTTATGTGTAGAGATCTGTCATATGTGTGTGTTTGTACACACTCAGTTAATAATTTGAAGTATTGCCAGGCGGTGGTGGCACAGGCCTTTAATTCCACCACTGGGAGGCAGAGGCAGAGGCAGAGGCAGAGGCAGAGGCAGGAGTATAGAGGCAAGGCCAGACTGGAGTATAGAGTGAGTTCCAGGACAGGTTCCAAAGCTACAGAGAAACCCTGTCTCAAAAAACAAACAAACAAATTATTTGAAGTATCAAACAGAATTAGCTTTAAGAAAACAGGAAGGCATGGTGAATTTAGATGAGGTCTAAGCAGATTTTAATTACCCATGTTTACTTCCTCTGCAATTTCCAAGTCTTCTACTTGAATCTCATGATCTAACATCTCTGAAAAATGGTCTCTGATTTCTTCAGCCGATTCATCACCAAATTTATAATCACATAACCTTATAGCGGATCCAGGAATGGGAACAAAAACTCGGTGAGGAAGTTCATAATCTAAAAGGAATATTACATATCAATATTTAGATATCGGCTATTGGTATTAATAAATATTTACTTCAAAAAACATAAAAACATCTGTTTGAAATGACAATGATTTTGAACTTTCTAGTTGATGAAACTGCTTTTATTGAGTTCTTTCTTTCCTCAATTTCCCTTGCTTATTGACCTCGATAATATACCTACGAAACATACAACCCTCCTTGCCTTTAACGTAGAGATGTTGCTAATCACATGTCATCATAAGACCCAGTGTGTACTACGATGGAACACTCAGTCAATTTTGTAACTCTCCTATAGATTGCTGCCTTTCTTGTTTTAGCCTTGCAAGTATTGTGAATTAAATTGCTAACTTTTTCTTCATTTATGAATGTTTGAGGTCAATGCAAGAGCCTTCCCCGACTTTGCCGCCCCGACACTGAATAGAAGCCCATGCCACAACAACTGGCTTTGTTCTTGGGATTGAACTCAGATCCTCGTGCTTGGGAGCAAGCACTTTACTCGGCGAGCCATCTCCCCAGAAACCATGTTTCACATTTCTTTGGATACTTGCAAACTAGACTATACACCCCTAAAAAAAGTTACTAGCTACATAAATATAACTGTGGCTCTAACAAACTAACACAGAAGTAGACACTTTTGTAATTAGTAATCATGTTGTCTGCATCAGATATGATTAAAAAGTTATCAATGTAAAGATCAAGCAGAAAATTGGGGTCATTCTATTTGCAACCTACATTTCCTCTTCAAGAAACTAGGATTACTTTATATAATTACAAACAGAAGATGCTAAAGTATTCCTTATGTGTCATGGGAAATTCGGTGACATAAACTACATGATTCTTCCACTTTCAGTGTATGATCTCATTTGTGTAGAACTGGAAGAATAATTTTACTCTTTGACCACACTGCCTCCTACTGTTAGAATTACATAACTGCAGTTTGTACCACAGCATGCAAAATTAGGATGATGGTATTTTTTTGAACCAAACATACTTTAAAGTCAAAAATTTGAAAATGGTTATAATATTCATGGATAACCGACAGTAAAATCTTAAACACACATCAAATTTGGAGTCTATGTTTGCCCAATTAAAGAATGTTACAAAAACTGAGTGTCAAAGAACGAATTGCAATGCATATAAGTACTCATTAAAGAAGAAAATCAAAACAAAACATTTAGAATCAGAAATTCATCCACTAGCAGAAAAGAAGGAATGGAGACAAAAAGGTATAGTTTCAAAAGCATACTTAATATATGTTTTGAGTACAAAACTATTTTAATACAAATCACTAAGATGCAAAACATAAACTGCTTATATTTCCCCAGAGATGGAATTCAGCCATCTGGAGCCTAATCAAGTCGGCTAGAGAAATAGCTAAGAAATACAAAACATAACAGCGTATAAACAGTACCTCAGAAAATCCACCATACAGCAAACACTAATAAGTTAATATTTGAGTACACCTACGGTGACTTGAAACCTACAACACCAACGAAATCTTAAAGTCAAACTGCTGACACTGTCCACTCTGGCAAAAATAGCTCAATCAGAGGCAAATATTTAAAAAATCCTCTCTGAGAGTGGAAACAGAATGCAGCTATATAAAGAATCAAAGGTGAATAATGGAATAGAAAGTGTTATATGGGGCAGGAATGGAAGGGGGAAGAGAAGGGAATATTGGAAGGGATAACTAATACAAAAGACATATGAAAACCCAATACTGCAGATGCTTCCTAAAGTATTTACATGCTCATATATAAAAAGTTTGGGCAGGGGCTGGAGAGATGGCTCATTGGTTAAGAGCATTGCCTGCTCTTCCAAACGTCCTGAGTTCAATTCCCAGCAACTACATGGTGACTCACAACCATCTGTAAAGAGGTTTGGTGCCCTCTTCTGGCCTTCAGGCATACAGACAGACAGAATATTGTATACATAATAAATAAATAAATAAATAAATAAATATTTAAAAAAAAAAGTTTGGGCAACAGTGCCTCTACAAATAAAAAGTCTGGTGCTGAGAATGGGTTGCGTCTTTTGGAGTTAATGGCGAGGAACATTCCAGAAATCCCTAAACAATATAGGCTTTTGCCAGTGTTCTTGTTTGCTCACCACGACCTCACTGTCAGACCCTACTACTGAGAGCTAGAACATGAAGAAATCAAGCAGGTGCTCATCTGATAGCTGCATTCTTACAGGCCAGATAAGAGTACTAGAAGGTGCTTTGCATGCTACTCGATGAAAAAGAAATCACTATTGGTCTGCTGTGAACCCTGCTAGCTACAGTGACAACTGGCTTGGTAAGAAACGTTGACTAGTGCCAAAGGCACTGAAGTCATGTGGGAAACCAACCCGTTTCAGACAGGATTTCAAGCTTACTCCAGTTTGGAACTCACACCTGGCACTGTTGGCAGGGCCAAGAACCTCTAGCTGGCTAGGACACAGGCCCTAGATGACTACTCTCTATGCTGTTGAATGGGCATCACATTAAACCAACCCCTACTGACTTACTGTTATACCCATAGATTAGTGTATCTCTCAACCCTCACCAGAGAAGTCTCTTTTGTAGTAAATGGCAATTAACACAGAGACCCACAACCAGTTGTGGTACAGAGATGAGAGATTGCAGAGCGCTCAGGCCTAAGTGAGGCATCTGTATCACACACAACCCTGCCCAAGGCTCTGGGATTATTGCAGAAGAGGGGCAGAAAGACTGTAAGAGCAGAGATGGTAGATGACTATTAAGAAACAGTGCTTTCCGGACACTGCAGGGCAACTGCACAGATGAACACAGAGCAACTGTGACAGCATGCACAAGATCAGCACAAACTCAAGCCATGCAACTGCAGCACAGAGAAGGGAAGCGAGTTAAAGGGCTGTTGCAATTGAATAGCTGCTGAGAGCAAAGTCAGTCTTCTCAAAGGTGTGGCCCCTAGAGGATTATGCATGCTCCAGTGTAAGAAAAGACATCCAAAAATACGTGGGCAGCACAAACAATGCCTGGTGTATTTTAAAAAAAAAAAAAAAAAAACAAAAACGACCGGGAGGGGTGACAGAGAGAGTGAACACAGTGAAAACACATTGTAAGAGATGCTCAAAGGACTCATTTTTAAAAGGAGGAGGAAAGAATGCAGAACATTAAAACAGTCTTCCTTGGAACTGCTAAATGTTGATAGCTGTGCTAACAGAAATGTTCAAAACAATGGTGGAGGAGGGAGAACTGAAAAGATTTTACTCAGCAATAAAAGTAAAAAAATAACTTACTATTATAAAACATGCTATAGAAGATGACATACATGTTAAATCTTGATTATCTTACTGTATGAAACAGAAAAAAACACAAAAAAAAGTGCTTAGAGTCATACTTTTTTTTTCTGGAGTTTCATTCAAAAGCAGGTCCTCAAAAAGTATTTCACAGCGATCAGCAACTGTGTTCAAAATATCTCTCTTCACTGCCTATGGGAAAAAAGACACAGTAAGAAATAAAATACATCAAAGTTGAATTATTTCATTACAAAACAAATCCTCATAATTTGCTTTCGGGGACAACAATGTCCACTCAATAACTGGCATACCATTCTGCTCATTCTTCTCACACACTCAGCATAACTGTATAACTGTTACTATAACACAGATGTAGCTTAATTATACAGCTATGTAACCACATTTAAATAGTAAATTAAAGTTTGCATCTAAACAAAATTTTCCAATATTCTAAATCAGAAAATGTATTATGATATAAATGCTGGTCACCATTTTTTTTTTTGACTCTGAACACTACCTAAGAAGTCTTTGTGTGAGTACTTCTATTAAGAAATTGAACTCCCCTCAAAAGAAATTATTTCAAAGGTACTGATATAAGAGTGGAATACTTATTAAATCCATATAGACAGTCTACACATAAAAATTTTGAAAGCGATTAGAACTTCATTAATTGAAACCAAATTAATAATCATAAAATTAAGATAAAAAGAAAGCGAACTTCTAAGATTTGATATTGTGTTAAGTTGTTTCCATTTTTTCCACGCCAGCTCCTCTTACCTGCACGGCATCTTTAACCTTGGGTCTGTTGCTGTGGATGAAAGCTCGGCATTTCACATCTCCCCGGAGGTTTACAGAGCCACTACAGATCTGGACCGTGGCTGTGGATCTGTGGTCTGAACTCAGGGGCTGAAAGACAAAATTGTAGTCCATTATTAGTCCTAACAGTCCTAACATGATTCATTACAGGAAACATTTAACCAGTATGTGGGCATTTTATAGAAGAGGAAGGATTTCTTGTCTAAGCACTTGAAAATATTCTCCATAAGTGATTAAAAGAAGTTCTTCATATGTCTCTTTATAAATGACACATTTTCTGGGCATTCTTAACATAGAAAGAAAACCAACTACATCTTAATGTTTTCTCACTAACATGAATATTTAAAATACTAGTACTTAATATATCCCCTAAAAGACATTATTTGTAGGTTCTGTAGGAAAGTATTATGAAGATAAAAAGATGCAAAAAGAAGGCATGCTGCAGTAGGAGATACAAGGCATGGAATACAAGAAAGCCACAAAAGTAACAAACTAGGACACATAAACATGGTAAATTCTAACCAACGCATAGACACATTTATTGCCACGCTTTCCTCAGGTAAGACCCTAACATCATCTAGAGTGTCACCAGAAAATGCTATTATGTTTCAAAGGGATGACATGGCTGCTTTCATTTCATGCCCCATTGTCTCCAGGGTACACAGTACTCAATACTTGTTTTTCAGATGCTCCACTCATTTCAATGTTTATTATTATTTTATGCAAATAAATGTTCTGCCTAGAACATATACCTGTGTACATGTGTGTGCAATACTGAAGAAGCCAGGAGTGGGTGTCAGATCCTCTGGAACTACTTATAGATGGATGGTTGTGAACTGCCATGTGGATGCTGGGAACTAACCCTAGGTCCTCTGCGAGAACATCGAGTGCCATCAACCCACCCCAGTTCAGACAGTTTAAATCTGATTGGCTTAACTGCCAAAACAAGGACAGCATGATAACACTGAAAGTACTTCTGAAGGCCTATGATCATGATGGAAAGAAAAAAATCAGGATTAAAACATCACTATCAGTCCATCAGTCCCAGTCTCTTGAATTCAAATCTATCCTTGAAGTCATCTACCTGTGGCTCTTACAGTCTTTGCACATCCTCCTCTGTGGAGATCTGAGCCTTGTGAGGGTGTGACAAAGACACCTTATTTAAGGGCTGAGTGCTCCAAAGTCTCTTGCTCTCTCAACACTGTACAACTGCAGGTCTCTGAGTTAAATGCCATCTACTGGGAGAAGCTCTTCTAATGAGGGTATAGACATAAGTTATTAGGAGTCATTTTGTTGCTGTGCTGACTTAGCAGAATAACTGTAGTAGGTTGTCCCCTAGGGCCAATGACCTATCTAGTCTCAGGTTCCTGGCCTCATTAATGATAATAGGTATGGTTACATATCATGAAGGAAGTCTTAAAACCAATTTTCTAAAAAAGTGGCTGAACAAGTGAGCACATCTTGTAAGCAAGTCATTATTGCAGAGCATGGGATTTACAGCACAAGATTTATGATTATTTTTCTCCTCCAGTAGCATAAATAGCACAAGGCAGAAGCACATATGAATTCAAAGAGGCTGTGATCGCATGCATATAATCTGAACACACTCAGGTCGAACAAAACACCAGTATAGTCAGAGGAAGTGAGCACAAGTCCCACCTCTAGCCAAAAAGCTATTTGCAATTGATAGGTGCCGGAAGATGAAAAATCAGTTTTATTCAGTGGAACAACACTGGGTATATCAAACACACTCCACGATAGGGTCTATGCTCAGATGGCCGACACCATGAGGAGTTATTTAATTATATGTGTGGGGGTGTTTTGCTTGCATGTATGTTTGTGCACCACATGGGAGCCTGGTGCCCTTGGAGAGGGTGTTGAATTCCCTAGAACTAGAGTTACCAGATAGTTGTGAACCTCCACATTGGTGCTGGGAATTGAACTGTCTTGATCTTGATCTGCTGTAAGAGCAGTCAGTGCTCCTAACTCCTGAGCCACCTCTCCCGTCTGAGACTCCACGGATTTTGTTTATATGCTTGTTTGCTTGCAACTTTACACTTTTTTGGTTTCTTGAGAGAAGATTTCTTTGTGTAGTTCTGGCTGTCCTAGAACTCACTTTGTAGATGAGGCTGGCCTTGAACTCATAGACCTGCCTGCCTCTGCCTCCTGAGCTTTGGGACTAAATGCATGTGCCACCGTACCTGGCTATTTTAAACTTTTAGGAGAGAGAAAAATTGTGAATTTGTGAGGGAACAGATTTGGAAAGTGTTGGGGTAGGGAAAGAACATGATCAAAATACACTGCATGAAATTCTCAAAGAATACATAAAAAACAAATTTAAAAAAATAGCACCAGTAACATCAAAAACCAGTTCTAAAAATGTAATTTATGTTGGGCGGTGGTGGCACACGCCTTTAATCCCAGCGTTTTGGAGACAGGGGCAGGCAGATCTCAGTGAGTTTGTGGCTGGCCTGGTCTATAGAACGAGTTCCACAACAGTCAGGGCTAAACAGAGAAACCCCATCTCGAATCCCACACCCCTAAAAGGTAAGTCCACTAAAAATACAAGACAAAAAAAAAATGTACTGCTAAGTACTATGAAAAAACACTGGAAACTAGGGTGAGAAGCTTAAATCCAATGCCAAACTTAGCAATGCTTTATAGTTAAACACAGAGAAAAATGGGAAAGCATCTTTATGAACCAAATTACCTCCACTCCCTCTTAGTTAAAAAACTGAAAATTCTGGTACTATTTCTGAGTTTCAAACTCTAGAATAATATTGAAATGAAATTTCTTATACTTCCTATAATCATGGTCTGTTCTTTGGGATAGCATGAGGCAATATTAAAATGGACAGCATTTAGAAGTAATTAGTAGTTTTAATTTAAGTGATTTTTTATTTGATTGGTTTCTTCAATAGACCCCATTTTAAAAAATATTGAATTTCCATATAGATGTATAATTTTAAAATATAAAGAAAAAAATGAAACTTGCTAATTAATACTCTGGAGAATTTTTAGATTTATTTTATGTGTATGAATGTTTTGCCTACATGTATGTCTGTGCACCATGTGTTTATATAGTGTACTTAGAGGTCAGAGGAGGTAACTGGATTTTCTGGAACTGGAGTTATGGATGGTTGTGAGCCACAATGTGGGTGCTGGGAATCAAACCCATAATCTCGGCAAGGACAATAAATGCTCTGAAACACCGAGCCATTACACCAGACCCCTCTGGAGATTTTTTTTTTTAATGAAATTAGAGTATAAGATGAATACATACCTCAAATTAAGTACATGACAATTCTCCGTATATCAACACACATCTTCTTTTAAAAGTTTCTAAGAATTCTAAGTTTAATAATGAAATCAACAGCTTAAAATATTTAAATACATATGTACACATGCTTTTAAAACTGTTATTTACATGGAAATACTTTAATAGCCTTGAGACAAAAGGCTCAAAATGGTTAAATCAGAGCAATGCTTCTTGGGAGTAACCTTCTTATAACTGAATGCTTTATATAGTTTCAAATCTTGCTATATTTTTTAATTAGTACAATTATATTCCTAATTTTTCATTATGTTAGCTGAAATTACCTATTTTTAAATAAGTGGATTTAAAAATATTTACCAACTGTGTTAGCACTCGAACATCAAAAGAATGAGCAGTTGCTTGAGTATTTCCTCTAGATTTTTTCTAAAAAAATATAAAAGCCAGACTGTTAAGGTTATATACAAAAAATAAAGGATAATTTAGGAATTATTTTACTTTTTCTAAATACCAAGAAGAAAATACAATCTTAACTACTTTAATTTTGCTTTTGTAAAGTCACACTGCATTATATACTCCAAATTAACCAATTAGTCTCTTAAAATTATTCCCTACTTTAATTCCTTCAGATTTGAGATCAGTAAATTATTTTCTGTAGGTCAAATTTACATTGTCACCTTACTCTGTAAATGAGCATTTTCTGGAACCATCAAGATCATTCATTTATATTACCATCTATTGCCTGAGGTTTCTGTTCTGCCTGGTCCCACAGTTGTTCAGTCCCAAAGAAACATACAGAGGCTTACATTAATTATAAACTGGTTGGCCTATTAGCTCAGGCCTCTTATTAACTAATTTTTACATCTTAAATTAGCCTATCATTCTTGTCTATATTAGTAACATGGTTTGGTACCTTTTATCAGTGAGGCATTCTCATCTTGCTTGCTCTGTATGTAGCTTTATCTGTGACAACTACAAACTGACTCTTTTCTCTTCCCAGAATTCTCCTATCCTTGTCACTCCACCTCTACTTCCTGCCTGGTCGTCCTGCCTATACTTCCGTTCTGACTACTGGCCAATCAGTGTTTTACTAGAACAACACAATATAAGTGACAGGGTACAGACTATCGTCCCACAGCAACCATCTGTGATGACTTTAGTGGGACAACAGGAGAGATGAACAGTTGAACTACAACATGTCTTCTAAAACCTAAAGCATTTACTACGTGGTTTTTTTCCAGTTTGCAGATCTCTGCTTTACAAGAGAGATGACCTAAGCTTCTCTTTATTCAGGTCAAAGGTATTTGAGAAACCCTTATGGAGCCTTCCACATAGAGCTACAGATGGCAGAACACAAGATAGTTTTGAATAAGCTTTTACAATTTGGAGAGTAGGTAGGCTTTAGATGCAGATGACATTCCTAATTCCAGGATTCAGTACCTCAGTTACACCAGAATAGCCTCTACCTATCACTTTCTGAGAAAAACATTTGCCTTTTACTTTATAAGCCCCTGGAGCCCAGAATGGTAGTGCTCACCTTCATTCCCAGCACTTGGGGGACAGAGGCAGGCGGATCTTTGTGCGTTTGAGGTCAGTTTGGTCTATATAGTGAGATCTAGGACAGCCAAAGCTACATAGAAACCCTACATCAAAATAAATAAATGAAAAATAAAAGATTCCATAAATGAGTAAATGAAACCTGTTTTAATGAAGACAAGGACTAAAGATAAGGTTGTTTTTCCTTAGAAACTTATTTCATAAATAAGATGATGCTCTCTGAACTCACCTGTCCTTCTAATAGGTCACAATCTTCATCTTTAACTTGTCCATTAATCAAATAAACACCATTTTCTATTTGCTTGGCCCAGCGTACAAGTCCACTCTTAAAAACAATATGAAATCTTTCAGATGGAAAGTTATCTTAGTCAAGCCTATTTTACTATTCTCCACCTACTACACTGAATCTTGAGAATGTCAATAACACGGTGTTTAAATCCAGTATCACAGATTAAAAAGTCCTAATCTTTTAACTTCTTATACATATGTAATGAGTTTTCTGATCTTTTCCTAAAGTTTATATCACAAACTCCAAAGTCTTATTAACAACATGGGCATAGTAATAACATCCAATAGCGTCTATTATCTTTTCACAAGTAGAAAAATGAGACTTGAGTAGCATAAAGCAGTATTAAAGAAGAAAAAATACACAGAAACAAAAAATGATGAAATACAAAGGAATAGAAAAAGAAAGGCAAAACTAATCAGGGTCAAGACAAGGTCATTAGTAAATCAATGGACATAACTAAACTCTACATTAATACATATTTATTAAGTACCCACTATACTAAATATACTAGTATTATGACATTGTTCATGCTAAAAAAAATTCCTAATCCGGCTAGAGTAACAAGCTCATTATACACATAACAACAACCATTTTAGTAGAGTACAAGTTTTAAGGATTATAAATATCACAATCAGATTAACAGCAGAGAGTCCATTCAGTAATCAATGAAGAAAATATATTTTACTTGGATACCTTCGTATTTTTTTCCAGAGAATAACTGACAGAAGTAGCCGACAGTGGGATGTGGATATTAATGTGAACAGTACACTCTAGAGACAGCCAGGAGGTAGAGACTCGATTTTGACACTTCCAATCTGCAGGTCTTGCTGAACTCTTTAACAGGGAGAAGGTGGAAAAACAAATCAAGATACGGTTTAGGTAAAATAATATGCATTAATAAACTAAGGTATAAAATCTATATATAACTTGAACAGGCTAACATTTTGGACTGTTGACTAAATTCCCTGATTTAAGAGAAAAAGAAATAAAGAAATGATCATGTGTTAATTTTAATAGTCTTTCATACAAGCTAGACAATCCTGACAACCTCCTGGGAGTAGGCTGACGGGTCAGAGAGTGCTGAGAACTCTAAAAGGTGCCTGGGCACCAGCTTTCAGCCATGGCCTCCACAGCCCATCCTAAAGACTGCGTGCCGCGAATGCCCACCGAGCTGCCCCTCAGTATGGCTGTGCTCTCCTTGCTTCCTACACTGCAGAGTCATTTTCACATTGCTTTCAGGCAAATGCCGGTCTGGTTTCTGTACCACACAGGGCGCCACTTGACTAGGCACTGCAGTGACACAAATCCTTAGTCACTTTTACCATCAGTGTCTCAAATGTAAGCCGGGAGACTAAGAACAACAACAAACAAACACAAAAAAACTACATGTGGTCATATACATTAAAAAGGACTGATGACACTGGAAATTACTAGAACTAAATATAACTACATTTAAATAAAGATGAATTTTGACTTTTAAAAATAGCCTGTAAAACAGAAAAAATCTTTAAGGAGTAGTTTTTCTTACCTTTGGATCATGGACATCATAAGTTCGACAAGATAATCTTCACTAATTAAGGTCATAAATGACTCCAAAAGAATTCTTGATAACAAAATGTAATCCCCAAGCCAAAATGGTACATATGAGTGCTTACAAGTTAAAATACTTCAGATGTTTAAAAGACATATACAGATATGCAGTGATATTTTATTTGTATTTTAATAAATAAAGCTTGCTAAAGATCAGATGGCAAAGTAAAGTCACTAGAGGCCAGGGAATGGTGGCACACACTTTTAATCCCAGGACTTTGGAGAAAGAGGCAGACAAATCTCTGTGAGTTCAAGGCTACTCTGGACTACACAAAACTGATTCAGAAACAGATCAAGGCGGTGGTGACTCATCTTTAATCCCAGTGTTTGGGAGTCACACACCTTTAATCCCAGCACTTGGGAGGTGGAGACAGAAGTGATATGGCTGGGTGGAGAGAAGAATAAATAAGGGAAGAGACAGGAACTCAGTGGAGTGTGGAGTCTGAGGTTTGGTGGAAACACAGTGTAGTCTAGGCAGTCTGAGGATCACCCCTTCAGTGTGAGCTTCGGTAGAGGTAAAAGGTCTCCATAGTGGCTGGCTGCTCTGCTTCTCTGATCTTCAGCTTTAACTCTGGGTCTTTATTATTCATGCTACACACATATATAGCTATGCACTTATATAAATGTTTGAATGTTTATTATATATATTATGTATATGTATGAATTGCTGACTGTAGTATGCCTGGTACTTAAAAAAGCAAACAAACACAAATTCCCATCTGTTTGCAAATATTGCTAATCATAATAAATGGCAAGGAAGCGCCTATGAGTTCTCATTCACACAAACTCTACACAGCCAGCATAAAGGATTGCTATTTCAGATGGGATCCAGCCCAGGAACATTGACTGGGTTGTGATACTTCCCAGGCAAGTGACAAATATGTTAAACATCTTCCACAGGAAAAGTCTATTTTTAATCTTGCCTTTTCCAAGTCTTCATTTAGTGGGTTCTTGGATTGTGTCTCTTCTTTAGTGACCATCTATCCTGGGGAGTGATAGAGGAAGAGTCTAAGGAGGTCACTTGTCCATGGCAAAGGCTTAAGAATTTCTACACTGTCCAGCTCAATTATGGATACTTCAAATTGCACATTTTAACTATAAAAATCAAAGATGAAAATTATATTTGTTTGGTTTGGTTTGGTTTTGCTTTTCATGACAAGGTTTCTCTTGAGTCAGTCCTGGAACTTGCTCTATAGACTAACCAGGCTGGCCTTCAACTCACAGAGATCCACCTGCCTGGACCTTCTGAGTGCTGGGATTAAAGGCATACACCACCAGTGTCGGGCTAAAATTATACTAACATAGCAAAAACATTATATGCCTAAATTTATCTCTGAAAGGAACCTACAGTACAAAAATATACATGGTATAAGCTGGCAAAAATATTCAGAATCCTAAGTCCTTTCTCTCTATCAAACTCTATAATTCAGCACAGGACCAGTAGCCATTATTATTATTATTAACATTATTACTGGCAGCCCTAATCATAACAATGTGTTCTTTACAAATTTAATAGTCTTTTCCCAAAAGGATAATTTAAACAAACGTTTAAGGAAAGAACTGTAGGCTGTGATTTGCATGGCATATCAGGGAGAGGAGGAAAAAGCATGGCCACTGTAGTGTGCATGTGGGTGGTGTGGGCTAGCCATAGACATTAACCATAAACACCCAAATAAAAGATACTTTTTTGTAGAAGAACATATGTGAAGTATCACTCGTTCTGAGACCTCTTCCTCTGTGACATTCCATAGTCTTTTTCTACTCATAGATTTTTCCACAGAAAATATTAGCTGAAAGACAGAGAAATATACATGAATTCATCACAAAATGAAAAATGTGGAAAAAGGCAATGACAATTCCTAATCTTCAGAATTTCATGGACTATATCATGATACACTAACCATTTGTGATTTCACAAAAGGACTCACATAAAAATTGAGTTTTAAGAAAAAACATAATTCCCTATAATTAATAATTAACTGGACATGATAAATAAATTTTAGGCAACTAGCATTTATATAAAATATAGAACATAAGCTTTATTTTTTGTTGTAAGTGATTTTTCTAACCATAAAAATGAAACATGTTGCCTGGTTAGCATTTCTTATTTAAACTTCACAAAAAAAAAATAAAAGCAGTAAAAAAATAGGAGAAAAAAATCAGAACAGTGACAGAAATTTGTATCAGAAATGTTAACTATAAAACTTGGATTTGGGATTAGTTTAGAGGGTCATGAATGTGGCTCTAAGCTTTCTTCCAACAATGTGTAGAGAGATCTAATTTGTCACCTAATTCTTATCACCTATAAGCTGGAAACAACTGGTCAGAAGGTACTTGCCCTTCCTGACAATATCAAAAGAAACTACTCCACAAAATACAATATGATATAATGACCAAAATTATTGGCAATAAACAACACATTTTACAAAATTATTTCTTGTAGTATCTCTTGAGACACCATTTCTTTCCGATGTTTATTTTCAATCTGAGATTGAAATTGTGTCTCATTGTATAGGCAAGGCTGTCTGTGAAGAGAGCACAGAGAACACACACAGGAAACCCTCCTAGGGAACCGTGCCGTCCACAATGGGCTGAGGCTTTACACAGCAATCCAGATAATCTCCCACAGACATGCTCACGGGCCAGTCTGGTCCTGAGGACTCCTCATTAAGACCGCTTCCCTGGTGATTCTAGGTTCAGAGTGAAAACTAACTAGCACATGCACAGAGATTCAAAATGTATTCCAAATTGTCAAAAATGATGAGCATCAGTGAAAAAGACTGGAAGACATGCCTGGAGGAATATATTCTCTTTTCCTATGCACAACATATCACCCATGTGAACTGTCTGAAGTGGAGGTTACAACAATGGAGGTGTCTACAGTGCTTATAGATTGTTTTTTAAATTGCCCCCAGCTACCAGTTTTGTTCTTCTGAATGGTATAAGGTTCCTCTTGCTTGCAAGGTGAGATACGCTCATGAAACTACATATGTAAAGATATGAAAGCTTCCTGAAGACTACTTTAGGTTTGAGTTTAAGAGAAAACAGCTTGGGACTTTTACATTTAGTTTTGGATTGATTACACTACCTAAACAAAAAATATGAGAAGCAGGATATGCACCCCTTCCAGGAATAAAGAATAAACATATGATTAATATTTATATATTAGCCTCAGAACTTCAAAAGATCTGACTAGCATAACTTGATACTGCTACAATCGCTTCCTCCTAAGTCGGGGGTCTATAAGAAAACTGCTATTACACAAGAAAACCAGTTAAACCATTTTAACTTGTTGTATAACATTAAGATATCATCTTTTGAAAAATTATTTTGAGGGCCAATTAGATGGCTCAGCAGGTAAAGGCATTTGATGTGGAAGCCTGACAGCCTGAATTCAAGCCCTGGGAGCCATGAAAAGACGGACGGAAAGAAGAACTGAGTCTACAAAGTTGTCATTGTTCTCTGACCTCCACAAGTTCAGCAAGGTGGGTGCATGACCCCACCACCACCACCACCATATACACATGTTTAATAAACAAACCTTAAAAAATATTTTAAAATATATAGCTTTGATTGGAAAAATATTTAGATTCATTACACACAAGATCTGCAAATAAACGAATAGAAAATGCCATTTCCACAAATTGCAGCATAAAGAATTAATGGAACACTAATACATGCATGCTCAAGATCAATATACATGCATATGATTAAATAATATGTAACTTTTATCTCATTAAGAGTGTATGTTACACTGGACTTACTCTGCGCAGGGCATTTTGAAAATCATCTGATAGTTCTAAAGTTGTAATAATAAATATTCCAAGAACCACAAGTCCTCCAGGGAGCATTCTGGATACCTAAATATAAAAATACAGTATCAGCTATCATAAGCATGCCAGTCTTTTCTAATTGATATGGTAAACATTAAATCAGCAAATATTTATCCAGGACCAATTAGCCATATAGACTCTAGGTAGAGGCCACTGAAAAACTAGAGTGTTACTATATACATAACCCTTCCCAGAGCCCCCTCAACTTTGTATCTTAAGTCACTTTAATAACCTGTTTAGGTGCATCAACATATAGACAGACCTTTTCTCCTAAGACTTGTAAAGTGAATTTTTTTCAATGGTCTTCCGACTATCTACAAAATAAATATTTTACCGTAGACTTCCATTTTAATCTTTCCAGAATCTGGCCCATCTGATGTTCAGAGACACAGCTGATCTAGTTTCTCTGAAATAGTCAAGCATCGGTCAAAACTACTTCCCATTGACCACACATTGGCTTTCTAACTCCTATCCTTTCCTCAGGCTGTTTCCTAAGCCTAAACTGACTGTTCTACTCTCGAGAGCACTGCTGTCTTCGCTGTACACCCAGCTTCCCTGAGAACCATACCCCTGAGAACCACGCCGGCTGATCTGCCCTCTGTTTGTATCTTCCCTTCACTTGATGGGGCTAGTTTTTAAAACTGCATGTGCTTTTCTCTGCCAGCCAAGTTCCCAGCTACAAGATTGCTTTTGCTAGCTTTCATAGACTATGGTATAAGCAAACAATCACAAAGTTAAAGGTTAGAAAATTAGATATTAAAGCATCATTTCTACTACATCTGTATTATTTCAACTCATGATTCCCTCTGATTCATAAATCTGATTTAATCAGGATGACAAATGTGATGAAGTTTTCATATTTATCATGGGGAACCCATGCGGTTTTAAAAATTATACAGTTAACTCTAGAAGTAAAAATAGTAATTTACTATTATAAATTCACGCATATTCTCTCCATATGTATTTGTATATAAATTATATAGAACACAGAAAACTTGATAGGGAAAATGGGGGTAGCTCAGTGGTTAAAGCACTTGCTGCACAAGCAAAACGATAGCGTTCAAATCCCAAGACCCCATGTAAATGCTGGGTATGATGCAATTCCATCCTCTGAGAGTGAAGACAAGGGATTTCCTAGAGTAACCTGGCCAGCAAGACAAGCTGTATTAGTGGGCTCCAAGCTTGACTGAGACTCTGACTCACAGACTAACGTGGCAGAGTGATTGAGAAAAGTTACTGATACAAGCCTCAAGCCCCCACTATTATACACATATGCACACACAGCCACAGCATGCATGCACACTACAAACACATGAAAGAAAAAAATTATAAAAAAATCAAAACCAAATATAGAATTGCAAGTCATTTATATATAGAATTAAAGTAACACATATAATAGAATTATAATAGAACTAAAGTAATACCTTCTTTAAAAATCTTACTTCTTAGAATTGTTTATACTACTCTTCTAACACAAATATAAACACATTTATTTATCTTAGAGGCTTATAAATTGAAAAAGAAATATAATAATTCAACTTTTATCTTACCCTAATCATCTTCATTAATTTTTATATACCACAACTATACCACAACTCATTCAAGAAATATTTTAAGTGAATTAGCATATTTATTGCTTTTTCAACAACCCTAAAGCTATTTCCTTCTCTCATAATAGTAAAATTGTCCTCACAAACGCTCAAGGTCAAAATCTCAGCCATCTCTGGCATTTTCTCTTCTAAATTTCTTTATTCTCAATCCACTTGGTCACTTAATGGTCATGAGTCTAGCTCTTTCTTTGAAGTTGTAATGAAGGTTAAGCCAATTTATCCATGCATTATTTTATCTAGTATTTTACAACTCATATTATTAACCATGGAAATGCTGCAAGCTCTTAGATTACAGCCATAAACACAAGAAACAACTCGTACCCTTGCAAAGCTCAGAACCTTGTTTGGGCTCAGACCTTCACTGGGCTGGACTACTGCTTTTGCTCTAGTTTCTCTTCTGTCTCCAGGTTCTACATTCCACCAATACTGTGCCAATACTAATGTTATCTTATAAATTACTGGCAAATAAGTCACTTTACCTCTTTTAAAATACGGGGGTATAAAGGATTTTTCAATATAATACTTTTATTAGTACTATGAGATTTTACACAATGTACTTTGATCATATTTATCACCACTCTTCCAAGATCCAGCCCACATCCTATGCTTTTCCTTTCAACTTCGTGTCTTTTCTTTTTTTTAATAACCCCATGAGTCCAACTTGAGCTACTCATATACTCACAGATGTGGGGCCATCCAGTGGAGCCTGATTGATCTACTGGTGGCCACATACATTTTTAAGGCCACATCCTTTAAAAAGGACCATGACTCTCCCTATCCATACCACTGGACTTTTGTTTACCAAATATACTTTTTTGAATTGTATTCCAAAGCCACCCATAAACAAGCCTTGTATTTAATTACATTTTCTTACACGCACTGTGTTTCAGCTATACTCAATTGCCCAACTGCTTGCTATTTTCCTAGTATTGTGTCTTTGTGTCTCTCACCCACACTCACACTCTTCTGCCTTATTGAATGTGTTCTTTGACTTGTTCGATTAACAAAGGTCTAAAGAGTCATAATGTTTAAAGCCTCCTGTAAAATTGTTTTGAATGCAACTATTGGCATGCATTTAAGAAAGAATACTGTAAAATCCAGTCTAGCAACCCAGGAAGTATTTGTTTCTCTTGTTACTCAATTGAATACAAACATCTATGTGGTGAGACAATTTTACCTGGCTGGCATGTTCTGTGGCCCATTCTTCATCCAAGGTATCCAACTTAGCTTTGGGATGCTTGAGATTCTCATTGTGTTCCTCTTTGGGTGGTGTTCTAGTGGCAAGAATCACATAATCCTTTTGTGAAGAACACTTTAAAAACAAATTGTAAAAGCTTATTATAGTTATATCTGATTGAAGAACTAGATATCTAATGCAAAAATTAAACAGTATTTCAGAAATTTAAACTGTTAATACTCATATTATTATGGAAGCTATACTAGTGCAATATATCTCTCATATGCTGTTAATCTTTAATGTATGTAATAGCAACTTATTATTTACTTGAAGATCCTCAATATAAGTAATAGGGTGGATTCCTATACATTACTATAGATGATTTCGGAACTGTGGATGTAGCTCAGTTGGGACAGTGACTGCCTGGCATGCAGAAGGGCCTAGTATCAATTACCAGTGCCAGATAAACCAGGATGATGGCATACACACGCAATCCAGCACACTCAGGAAGTGGGGGAGAACCACAAGTTCAAGGGCATCTTTGTTGTTGCTGAACATGTAAATGAACTGACATAATTAAAATGTAATATGCTTAGTCACTACTCCAATTATTTTATCTATTGTCTCTGTAATTTCAATGGATTGGATGTTTAACAGATATAAAAGTTCATAGTTCAAAGTAAATAAATAAATTGACATAGATGTATCAAGAGAACAACAGAGGGGATTTGAAACAAAATTCAAAGGGTTCCAAACTCCAGGTTCTTCATTTTTAACAGTATTTAAATGGTAACCAAAAGAGAAAAATCTAAAAATAAATTTAAGGACTAGAAGAGATCTCAGCTTCACTGCAGCATGGTTCCTAAGTGAGCTAATAAGGCTCATTATGGAGCTGAAGTGGCATATTATCTCCAAATATGACCTAAAACTCCGTAGAGATCATTAGCATCACCATGATATAAGTATTATGGCATGGTTAAGACATGTCTCTTAGGGCTGGAGAGATGGCTCAGTGGTCAGAATGAGTATTCTCTTGCAGAAGACCAGACTGAGTTCCCAGCAACCACATCTGGTGATTTGCAACAGCCTATAACTCCAGCTTGAGGGACTCCAACCCCTCTGGGTCCCTCAGGCATCCGCACTCACGTAAGCATGTGCGTATATGCACACACACACTGAAAAAAATCACAAAATAAAATGTAAAAATATCTATCTGTATCTTTCTAAGTATGCTATGCCCCACCCCTTTTCTCATTTTGTTTTGGAATTGGGTTTTACGCAGCCCAGGCTGGCCTCAAACTCACTATGTAGCCAAGACTGATCCTTCAGCCTCCACCTTCCAAGCCTGACACAGAGGCATTGCTTCTTTCATAAGATGTTGAACTTTGAAAAGAAAGAGAAACTGTGATTTAGAGTAGGAAAAAGGCAAGCTTGAGAAGACAGAAGAGAACAAAAGTGAGCTCTGAAATCAAAGGAAGAGAAAGAATGCCACAAATGAAGAAATAACGGCAGTATGGAGCTGGATATAGTGGTTCCTGTGTATAGTGAGACTGGTAAGTTCAAGGTTAGTTTGGGTTTCATAGTCAAATGGCCTGTTTAAGAGGTGCTGAGTGAGGGAGATTTGGCCTGGGACCCTATGTCATTTGAGTAATCGCTCACCTGCCCCTCTTATACTTGGTAGCCTGGTTCCTTCACCTGTAGGAACCATGTACAAACACCTCTCTGCTAGTAGCCTCACCCCAAGGCTCTACCTGTTCTGGGACACACTTCTTCCATCTCCAAGGAACAGTACAGACCTCCCTGTCCTTGGTAGTAATCTCATTAGACAGTTTCAGTATACAAGTGTATTCCCAACATATCTGGTAAGAGAAAATGTCTGATCAGCCTAAAATGATTTTAGGTGCATGTGCAGTTAAACAAACTGCCTGTCAAGTGAACTCTTATGGAAAAAAAAAATCGTATGCCTATGAATTAATTTAAATTTAATTAAATCAGGTTTTAATTATGGTGAGGGGGCATGTATATTAGGGAAATTAAGTATGTTATTATTATTATGTATGTAACCTAGCAATTAAAATAGACAATCAATCAAACTATATTCTTAGAAGCCAGCATCTCCTTCTTTTGAACCCCATAAAACTAAGCCACAAATAGTATTTCGGACACTTAAGTACGCTCACTCATGTGGCCTGCAGTGAATCTGGACTTCCACTTTGTTCCTTATGAAGTTACCTTGCCACATTTGCAAATCGGTGAGTCTTTATTTTCAATTATTTGGATAAGAGGCCAAGAACCTAGAAAGAACCGATCCTGACTTTGACCGTGCTGACAACCACCAGGAACACTGGGGCTGAAACCCGGGACCTTATTTATGTATGTTGGGCAAGTACCAACTGAGCTATGTATCCAGTCCAAAACACAAATAAATATAAGCAAAATGTGAATAATCTGGTCAGTGAAGAGTTAAATTGTGCCATTTGGAAATTATAAGTTACTTTCAGTGTTCCAAAGGGAATATGATCATACTTATTCAAACACCAGCCAGGTTTCCTCCTTTCAAATACTATCTCAAAGATCCATTTTGGGCTACCTTCTTCAGTTCCTTCCATATACAACCTTGAATTTACTATTAAATGCCGTACTTAATTTTAATTAATGAGTAATTTATTTTCATCAATATGCAGAGTAACAGACACATACATACCTGTCCTATCAAAAGACCAGAGACAAAAGATTTTCCCTGGAGACTGATGCTTGAAATATATTGGCCAACACTCTCTTCTACAATGTAGGTTCTTCCCATTATTGGCAGCCAATTCAGTAGCCTAAAATAAAAGAAATAAAGTTTGTATTTTGGGGAAAAAAATTAATTTTTGAGTTTTAGCATGGGCAGATGGGTAATAAAGCAAAAAAAAAAACAAAAGTACAATCCTGACAATTGCCCTATGTCTTGTAGTGATTATTTTCTAAATAATCTTTTTTATACAATTGAAATGAACCTTTGGAATTCTGAGGACAGTGCTGTAAGAAACAACTCCCTGGGGGCTGAAGAGATGGCTCACTGCTTGCTGCTTTTCCAGAGGGCCCGAGTTCAGCTCCTAGTACCCAAGTCCAGTGGAGCACAAATGCCCATAGCTCCAGCTCCAGGAAATCTGAGTCCTTCCTCTGGAGTCTGCACATGTGTAGCATACTCACACAGATATGCATACCAAATAAAAATCATAATAATAAATTAAAAAAGGACAGACTCCAGAGGCTTTCTGTGCTTCTTTTAAGGCAGGGTTTCACTATTTCGATCCGATTGACTTGGAACTCACTTTATAACCTTGGCTGGCCTCCTCAACTCCTGCTTCAGATCTGCCTCAGCCTCTGGAGGCTGGAATTTCTAGAATATGAACGATGAATTTCTGATTACTTCACTAAGAGGTAGAGAGATTCACTGAATAGCCACTTAAGTAGAAAGTAATGCAGCAATGGCAGCTATCTATACAGCTTCCATTATTCTAAGTATTTTACCGGCACTGACACTTAATACATAACCCCGCCAGGCCAAGTATTATTATAGTGGTCTCCACTTTATACATAAAGAAATCAAAAGAAGAAAATGTTAAATAACTCCTCCAAATGACAAAACTGGCGCGTGGGAAAGGCAGGAGTCAGGGTCTGACACTCTGTTTTGCTCACACCAACAACGCATACTGTCCTTCAATTAAATCACTGCAAAGGAGAGCTCCTGTTCGCTCCGTCAGTTTGTGAATGAAAACTAATATAATATCCGTACTAACTTAGTCCCTCCCACCCCCATCATTGAAACAGGGTCTGACTACCCAGGCGGCACGGGAATTAACACTCTCCGGCCTCTTACTCCAGGCTGCTGAGATCACAGACATGTGCTAGGCCCTATTTTCAATCAAGAGTCAATAAATTCTTCTAGAAATGTAACCAGGTATGAAACAAAGTATATACTCAAAGTGCTGAAACATGACCTGGAAACAAATACGTTTCTGTTATTGTGGCAAGAAGAGAGTGTGGCAGTTGTTTTAAAACATTTTCGTATAAAAATACCAACATCACACATTTTTTCTGCAATGTCATCTTAATACATAAACTACATTCAAACTCTTCCTGATTTCTTTTTGTCTAAAATATTAGCTGGAGTACAACTTAAATTCGCACTGATTAGTGCCTGCAACCCCCAAAAGCAGGTTTGTACGAGGTTTGTCAGTAGCTAAACTCCGCAGAACTGGCCGTCGATGTGCACCAGAGTGGCTGTCCATATGTTTCCTACATTATGGCTATTATACATATCCACATAGCCTTTCCTTTCGCCCCTTGAAGAGGAAGTTGTTGGTGCCCCAGTGCACACACATTCGTAGGCCGACTCACTTGTTCTCAGAATGTGCACACGTGGCCAACAAATCCCTCGAACCTTCTGCCAGCAAGAGAATTCGGGTGAGAGTACAAGTAGCTGCCTTCAAGGGTCAGATGCCACCACGTCCCGCTTCTACAGCCAATGAACTCATCAGAGAGCGACTGCAGACGCGCCACTTCCCTTTCCAAACTAGGGTAGCGGCGGGCGCAGCTTGATGACGCAGACCGCTCGCACCCATATCCGCGCTCTTCTACCCCAAAGCGAGCGTGGTCTGCACCCCGCCCCCTCCGGGGCACCCCAGAGAGCGTGGTGGTGGCCCGGAGCCTGTGGATCTGCCTTGCCGTGACCCTCTAGTGCCCCGGTTTCTAGAAGCGGCCACCGAGGAGTACCTATGGCATCCCGGGGTTTTGACGGTAAGGTCGCCTTGCTCCTCGGGGAAGGATGAGGGTGGCTGAGCACGTCTGTAGCGCCACCGCGCGGACACTCGCCACAGCCGAACGAGGAGAGCCGGGGGCGGGGAGAAAGAAGGAAGCGGAACGGGAGGCGCGGGACTGAGCTCCCCGAAGCGAGGGAGAGAAATACTACATCTCCCTTGGAGCCCTTGAGTCTGGGAGCCAGTGAAAGCAAAGGCCGGGTCGGAAGCCCGCTGTGAACTCGCATTCCCAGCGTGCCTAGCTTCCGGCGTCTGCGTGCGCAGCGAGGGCGCGGCTGTGCGGCCCGTGCTGCGTCTAACGCGGGACTCTATTTCCCAGGGTCCCGCCGCGGGAGTCTCCGGAGGGCAGGCGCGAGGGAGGCGGCGAGCGAGGCTGGAGACGGCGGGGCTCAGACTCCGGGCTTCCGCGCTTCGCCTTGCTCCTTCGTTTCTCCTTCGGCCCCTGCTGCCGACATGGCGGCGGTGCTGCAGCAAGTGCTGGAGCGCTCGGAGCTGAACAAGCTGCCTAAGTCGACCCAGAACAAACTTGAGAAGTTCCTGGCTGATCAGCAGTCCGAGATCGACGGCCTGAAGGGGCGGCATGAGAGATTTAAGGTGGAGAGCGGTAAGTGCTGAGCTCTTAGAGCTCTGGTGTCGGAGCTGTGGCTCGACCTTACTCTTTACCCGCTTGCACTCTGCGAGGTGTGCAGGTAGCATCACGCAGGCTCCATATGCAATGTAGGCCTCCTCTTTTCTCCTCGCTCTAGTTAAAAAGAAAAAAGAAAGAAGAACGCAAAGGAGCGATCCCTCCTCCCAGATCTAAATCCACCTTCTCGTCTTTTGTAGGAACTCTTAACTTGGGCTCAAAGACAGACTGGGGAGAATTTTGGACAATTTACCCAATATCTCTAGGTCTATGCAACCCTAATCTGATTTTGTTTTGTTGTTCTTAAAATGACAGTAATTCCTATTTTCTACACGCCTGGATTTATAGACCATTGCCAACTTCACCTCTTCAATGCCTTGTTCTTAGTGTATGTATCACCCTGTGGTCCCATAAAGAAGTAGATAGTCACAAAAGGGAATTTGGATGCCAAAGACATCCCTAGAAAAAGCAGTGAAATTGCACTAAATGAGTTGTATATATATTGTGTTTACCTCAGAAAGATGGAGATTGATAGAAAATATATACAGATCTATTTATACATCCTTGTAGTCGCTTTCATATAAGTTGTGGATTTTCGATTTAGAAAGTTGTGAATTGTGATTTGAAGAGCCTTGATTTAAAGGTAATAATAATTACTCATAATAAAATAGGATTTTTCTTGTCACGTGTTTTGGTTCACCGTTAATATAGGAAGTTGCTATTGTATTTTGGTAGAAATTTTCATCTGAATTAATTTTCACATGTAGTTATCAGGCAAAGTTGCTAATTGAAATTATACAGATAATTGGCGAATATAAATGATTTACATAATACACTGTATTGTTTATTAATTTACACAGTAAATATTGAGTGGTTTATATGTTCCAATACTGAGACGAAGTAAACACAATTTCATATTGTGGGAAGTCTGCAGGTTTATTTTTACTGAAATTTTATCAAGTGGTATTTTAATTATGTTGCATGAAACCTTTTAAAACTTCAGTTTTTAATTAAAAAATTCAACTTAATAAGTACTTATTTTTAAATGCTTAGCAGTCTCTGGAGGTCTGGAGAAAATATCAGGATACAACATTGTTGCCCGCTTCAAAGAAATTAATTTATGAATCTCCTTTTAGGCATTATTGTCTTTTGTTATATGCCAGTTGAAAATTTTGGGAAAGTCCTTTTCAGTGCTAAATTTACTTATTGAGGTTAGATTTTTCCCATGTTGCATCTTAAGTTTTGCCATCAGTATTCTAAGAAACAAATAGTGGTGGTATTAAAACTACTGCTTTGGGCGGCATGTGTGCTTGACCTTACTCTTAGTGTTTGGACTTGTCTTTTGTAGAACAACAGTACTTTGAGATAGAGAAGAGGTTGTCCCAGAGTCAGGAGAGGCTTGTGAATGAAACCCGTGAGTGTCAGAACTTGCGACTGGAGCTTGAGAAGTTAAGTAAGTATTAAATTATATCTTTATAACTGTTCTTGGATGTTCAGTTTGTATAGCATCACATAGGCAGGGAGCCTGCCCCACCTGGAAACAGGTTTTGCCGGCAGCAAAGCCCAAAACAGGGTTACAAACAAGGTAAAGACACACCCAGCTCCCCTGACTTCCAAAGGCAGACTGACCACTGCCACATCTCGTAAGTCCTGTATTATTCTCCTCATTCTAAATGTCCGTGGGACCTTCCAAACATCTGCCTCCATCCAGACCGCAAACACAAGTGTTTTTAGAATAATTTGATGATAAGAGACCTTGAGCTCACACCTCTCCCAGTACTCCCTCACAAAGAATCTTATGAAGACCTACTACTGTCTCTGAGAGAGCTGCAGCTTTGCTTCATACCCGAGGAGTACTGAAGACTTTCAACTCTGTATCTTTCTAGCTCCTTCTCCTTCTCTCCCTAAAACTAACACGTTCTTTGTGGGCGTTGGCTAACAATATGAGAAAATGCTCTGTAGGCATTGCAGTTTGTATTCATAGACCTGACAGACATAGGTTGTTCCAGCCAAGAGCGCTGATTTCTAATTCTGACTTTGATATTAAAAGTGGTTTCACCACACACACTATCATGCAGTCTTTTTTAAAAGGATGAAAATTACCACATGTGTGTCTATTTCCATAGTTTTGCATCAGAGGTACTTTTGATAGTGTTTGAAGTAGCTAAAATATATACCTAAAGGTTAAAATAGTGATTTGCTTTCCTGTTGAAAATTCAAATCTTGATTTCATTATACTGTTACAACATTTATAACTACTACTTCCAATGTATTTCTTCTGCAGTGCTGAGTTATTGAGAGTGACCTTAGTTACAGGTTATAGAGGATGCTGCATTGTGTACTGTTAGAACATTCCAAACTGCAAGTCCCATCATATTTCTCTTGTGATGCCTAGTTATTGAGAGTGATCTTAGAGTCTATAGAGGATGCTGCAGTGTGTACTTTGCTTATGACAGAAGAAAACTTGAGGAAAAGCCTTATAAAGGCCTTTAAATATAGTTTGATTTGATTTGACTTCATAGACAAAGAACACAAGAATCTTATAATCAAGTGATTAAATAGATTTCGAGTTTTCTCTGGCAGTTTGGTTTTTGACTTCTTCAGCAACTTTTGATAAACTAACACTTAAAGATGTGCGTTACAAACACACACTTGTGTGCACACGCATGCACACGTTACTTTTTTAAAATATTTATTATGTACAATATTGTATATTATGTACAATATTGTATATTATGTACAATATTGTATATTATGTAGAATATACAATATTCTGTCTGCATGCATGCCTGCAGGCCAGAAGAGGGCACCAGACCCCATTACAGATGGTTGTGAGCCACCATGTGGTTGCTGGGAATTGAACTCAGGACCTTTGGAAGAGCAACCAGTGCTCTTAACCACTGAGCCATCTCTCCAGCCCCCACATGTTACTTTTCATCAACAAAGCATAATAAAGCCTGCCCAAAAAAAATGGTACTGAAGGGTTTTAGGAAAATGACTGATTTCAGCTTCTTTTATGAAGTGCTTAGAAAGGCAGGGATGAACATAGAGATGAGTTCTTTCTTGGTGTGGACAACTGTATTTAAAGTGTGTATACAATTACACATGTTTACATCTGGAAGGTATTAAATAAAACAAAATAGAAAATTTAGAAACAGTTTTTTGTTTTCCTTTTTCTAAGGATACAGTTTTAAAAGAACAATGTTAAATGGGGAGATGGTTCAAGTGATTAAGAACACTTAACTGTTCAGTTCCCAGCGCCCATAACCTTCTAAAATTCTAGCCCCAGGGTACATGATAACCTCTCCCCTTCTTGGGCACATGCACACACATGGCATCCACTTAACTCTGGCACACACATAAAGATAAATCTTTGTAAATTACTCTCCATAATGTAGCGTTCGCTGCTTGTTTCCTCTTTGAGGTAAGGTTGTCTCACCTTGTAGGCTACACTGGCTTTGAACTTGGAGCTATCCTCCTACCACTGCCTCCCAAATGCTAAGATTATAAGTGTGTACCAGTACACCTGGCTTTAGATGTTTTCATGAAAGAAATTTTCTACAGATTGGGAGTAGAATTATTAAGTTTGATTGAAGCATATTTAAACTTTTGATCTGGAATACAGTAAGAACAGAGTGTATTCACAAATTTGGAATGTGGTTATAGATCAATCTTTATGGACTCCAATTCTTCATTTTGAAAATGTATAATGATGGCTGTTGGGTAAAAATTCCAAATTGAAGTTAACACATCTGTGTGCATTACATTCCTTCTCTCTAGATAACCAAGTAAAAGTGTTAACTGAGAAAAACAAAGAACTTGAAACTGCTCAAGATCGTAATCTAGGCATTCAGGTAAAACGCTGTCCATAATGAAGCTGATTGCAATTATGATATTTAAAGGTTTTCTGATCTGTTTTTATGTATTAGATAGAAGCTGCCAGCATATATGTATGTAGAAATGTTCATACAATTTCTCTAAATTGATATTTGGTGTGTTATCTTTTGACTGGCAACCGTAGCCCAGCATTCAGCATGTTTTACTACAGTTAAGACCAGAGTTTGAATCCCTAGCACCCACATAAATGTTGGGTGGCTGTGGCTGCTGTTTTATAATTTCAGGGCAGGAAGGAGTAATTGATCCCCTGAACTAGACTGATAAAACAGTATACATTCTCTTGGTTTCTATTGAGGCATTGCCTCAATGGATAAAGTAGAGAGCAATCAAGGATTTACAGTAGGCACCTGTATTTTGTGAGCCACCTACCACTCTGGCCCTTGTTTTTTTGGGGGGAGGGGAGCATTCATCATTTTGAGTCAGGGTCTCTTTCTAAATAAATAAATCTGTTTTTAAAATGTTAAAGGGAAATAGAGACAAAGCAAATATGTGTAAATGGTGAATTGTTTCTCAACTTATAGCAAAATGTAATTTGTTTCCATTTAAAGTTTAACGTTCTCTATATGAAAGTTGCAAATAAGCCATTAAGTCTGTTTTTAATATGACTACTTTCAGATGATAGGGATATTGTTAAAGAGAAAACATGCAAAGGAAGTATGTTAAATAAATGAATGAGAGTACAAAATGTTTGTAGTAACAG